CACACACACACACACACACACACTCACATCATACGTAACTCACGTTTTTCTTTTATCCTTTCTTCATTGTCAAATGTTCTCATTGCACGTCTCCTCTTCTCGTTTATCCTCTCGTCACTCGTTTTGGGTTAATTATTACAAAGATGGTTGTACAATAATATAATATATAGACTCTGTATTAGTTACAATAATATCGTACGCTTACGCCCGTTTCTAGCGTCGCCGTCTCCTTCGAAGCTTTCTTCATTTCGCTGAAAAGATCCGAATTCAATTTCTCCCTCTCTCCCTCCCTCCCTCTCTCCCTCTCTCTCTTTCTTGATTAATATATCTACGACGGTCGAATTAGCTCAAGTAAATACAATTTTAATTCTTCTTTACACTAATCGCCTCATTATTTTTATTTTATTTTGTTTTATTTTTTTTCTCTTTCTTTCTTTTTTCTATCGTTCGTTCAACCCCATTGCGCTTTTTTTATTGCTTATTTCTTACGCTAAAAAACAAACCAAAAATACAAGGGAGAGATCAAAGTGGTTTTGCAACGAAAACGCGAAATTTGCTTCCCTTGTGCTATTTCATGTTTTACCCTATCTTTCTCTTGACATAAAAACATATAAATGAACAAGATTTGCGATCGCATCAAGGTCGAATAGGAAGGATATCAGAGAAAGAGTTGAAAAGAGATTCGTAATGCGAATTAAAGATGCAAGAATAAATTCTTCTCTATTCTTTGTTTACATCATTTTATTTCTCACTCTCTCTCTCTCTTTCTCTTCTTATTTTAGGCGAACTAGTATTGGAAAGAAAAAAAAAAATAGTCGATCACAGTTATATACGACGATATTTAAATGTGCAGCGAAGTATAAAATTTTTCATATTTTCTTTCCCTCTTTTTTTACCATCACTTCAAACTACTTTTCACTCTTATCTCTTTCGCTTTTTTTTCCCCTGTCACCTCGAACCGTTCGTATCTCTTCTCTCTTTCTCTACCTCTCTTTTTCTTTCTCTTTCTATTTTTTTGTTATCTTTCTTTCACTTCCCTTTTACATCCTGTTAGTCACATAAAATAGTCATTTTCCTATATGTATAAATCGAGTTGGTTGTATTGCGTTGAATCACTTGTTCTCCCATAGTCCTTGCTTTAATATTCTCTTTATACAAGCATAAATTTGAAAATTATCCTTGGCGTATTACGAGCATTCGCCGGTTGTGTTTCATTCGTCATTCGTTCGATCGTCGTTGGGCGATTTACTCTTGAATTCGTTTCCACCATCAATATACGTACACATATAGACACATAAGCACAACATACACATGACGAAAGGTCATGGAATTTGATTTCGTGCCGATATACATATGCGCTCTCGATTCTCTATCGGTTTTGGCGGTCTTCTTCTGACATTATTTTTCCTATAGGCAACTCATGGATGGATAAATAAATTTCCTGGTATACATATACATATATATTTTCTTTTTATATGTACACATATATGTATATATGTATATACATATAATTATAAATTAAAGACGCTTATGTCGCCTGAAGTAGGTTTATATATAAAAGATAGAGAAGTCTGGCGAGCACTGTGATTTCAGGAGGGAAACGTTTGCAGAGTAAATTGCCCGGCGTCGTCTTTACCTTTATCAAGGATAGTCTCTCTCTCTCTCTCTGTCTCTCTCTCTCTGTCTCTCTCTCTCTGTCTCTCTCTCTCTCTCTGTCTCTCTCTCTGTCTCTGTCTCTGTGTGTCTACGTAGTTCTTACCTTAGAAGATAACGAGCCCGCCTCGTCGCTTGGCTTACTAGCTAGAACGAGATTACCGCGTTTATATTTCGTTTCACGATCGGTCCCTCATTCGCTCTCTCTACCTCTTCTTTTTTTTATTGCCCTTTTCTTTCTTTTCTTTCTCTTTCCTCGCGTAATCCCTCATGGCCAAAAAAGAAAGAAAGAAAGAAATCGAACGAAAGGAAACGAAACAAAACGAACCGAAATGAGACGACACGAACGATCAACCGATCCTCGTCTCGCTTTGATATGGTCCGATCACGATAAGCCGTTTGTTTGTTTGTTCATTCATCAAAGATTTTAATTATATAGCATCCGCGCCTTTACTACGAGAGCTAAACGTGTATACAATGTGTTGGTAAAAAAAGCTACTAGCCGTATGCGCGACAGGTGTCGAGAGACGAAGGAAAGCACGTGTTTTTTCATTTTTACATATATGGTCCGCTCTCTTTATTTTTTTATTTTTCATTCTTATTCTCGCCCTTGCTCTTACCCTTTCGTCAATCGTTCGTTCGTTCGTTCGTTCGTTCGTTCGTTCGTTCGTTCGTTCCTTTACTCGTTCCTTTACTCGTTCGTTTGACCGTAGTCAGGAAAAAGAGTCCGCACGTTCTCTGGGTGCATCCTTATCCTTTCGTTCACGGATCGAAGATCACCGGCTCGCCTCAAAGGGTCGACGGTCGACGATAGTGTGCGAAGTTTGTACCTTCTGGCGGTCGAGCTGATTTTCTTCCCTTTATCTTCTCCTCCTCCTTTTCCGTTTACTCCCAAAACGATGATCGTACGAGTACGAATTTCTCCCGACGGAGAATGAGTGAAAGCAAGAGGGAGTGAGTGAGAGAGAAGACTTGGCAAGACCTATCGACCGAAGCAGTCAAAGCCAGTGAATCGATTCTTTCTTCCTCTTTCTCTTTTTCTTCTTCATTCTCCTCCTTCCATCCTCCATCTTTTTCCATTGGCTTCGACGTTCGAACGATCGTAGCCGTTGCTTCATGCCAGAGGCGGTCTCTTTCTATCTCCTTCTGTCTTCTTTTTCTTTTTTTTCCCTTCGTCGCTCAGCGTCCTCGTCGATAAAACATTTTCCAACGAAGATCGTTCAACGCTTTTCTCGAAAATAGTCGCTTGTCGTCGTCGTCGTCGTCGTCGTCTTCGTCTTCGTCTTCGTCTTCGTCTTCGTCTTCGTCTTCGTCTTCGTCTTCGTCTTCTTCGTCGTCTTCGTCGTCTTCGTCTTCGTCTTCGTCTTCGTCTTCGTCTTCGTCTTCGTCTTCGTCTTTTCGATTAGAATCACCTAAATATTACGACTACCCCGGTCAGTAGAAGTATCGTCAGGTACGTCGCTTGATTCATCTGCCCCTTGTTCTCCTCCATACACTGACCTGTGACAACATCAATCGACACTTTCACTTTATGTACGTTAAATCGATTAGGTTCAAAATATTTAATGGAGGATTCAATTTTACGCTACTCGATGATTATGTATCAATCGGAAAAGGAATGTGAGCATCATAAACATCTTCGTTTTTTAAAGGGTGGATTAGGATCTTTAAGGTAGAGGCTCGCTTACCGGTGCTGGTAGCATTAAAGGCCAACATCGGTGCGGATGGAGGAATGCCTCTTTGACACGCTACCGAGCTGGCAGTCAAACTAACAACTCCACCGCTCTCTTTGTACATGAAACACAATCTTTGGGTGTTTCTGTAGGGCTGCGGCCTGTTATTATCGTTCGACCACGTTGTTTTCCGCGTAAGTCTGGTTGCGATCACGAACTGAGTACCCTCTGCGTCGATCCACTTTCCATGGCAGGAGTAAGCTTGAAAGCAGAAAAGACGATTGCTTTAGAACAGAGAGACAAGTGTCAAATCATAGAAAGAGGGGTACAGAAAGAGAGAGATAGAGTGAGAGAGAGAGAGAGAGAGAGAGAGAGAGAGAGTACGTTGGGAACTTTTGGGTTAATATAGGGTGACTTTTCGGGGACAGTCGTTACCCTTCGAACACCATTATCCCTTGATGAAACTTTACCAATTGCAGGGGTTCAACGAGCATAATACAGAGCTTTGGAAAATTAAGAGAGGACTCTACATAATTTTTAAGTACCTTCTCTCACTTTCCAAAATTCTACAACAATTGATCAATTTTATAGCAAAAAGGATGCTCCTTCTTTTTCCTTCCTTTTTTTTCTTTTTTTTCTTTTTTTTTTTTTTCTTTTGGAGCCATCTATTACGTGTATGAAATTAATAGATAAATTATAAATGGATTATATATTTTGGAATAATAAGTAAGCAATAGTATTTACCGACAACTGCGACGTCATTCACGCAATCGCTTTGAAGCTCCATTCTGTCTGCGGTAGAACATCCAACGGTGAGAGTTGTGATCTCAGCGTTGCACTTTGATTCGACCTCTTCTCTTTTCTCTCGGGTTTCGCTCGTAACTTCCTCTTCGGTTACTAGATTCTCGAGGTCTCGTCGCATCCTCGTGAGATCCGTAAAGGACATGCTCTTGTAAGATCGAACGCCTTGGGATGATGATCTCTTCTTCGGTGCGTTCTTGGTATCAGGGTAATCCCCAAAGTATTCGTCGTCGTCCACTTCTAATATGGCGGACGTTCCCACGTCGTCAAAGTTCGGCATCCAGAATTGTTTCATGTCAGCAAATCCGGTAAAGTCTTCGGAGTTATCAACTATTTTGGAATTTCTTTTAGATCTGCTCCATCCATCAGCATTATTTTCATCTTTATTAAATTCGTCCGATATTTTCTCTCGTTTTTTCGCTTTCAAGTGCGAACCGTGTTCTCGATGGACCACACTCTCTTGTTGTTCCGGAATTAATTTCAAGGAAGATGACGACTCCTGTTGATCTCTGTGACTTCTGTTATTACGATTCGATCTAGCTCGTCTACCCATTCGCTCACGCACGAGATATTCATTGTTCGCTCGTCTCTTCTCAAGCTCAAAGTCGATCTTGCTTCGACCACGACGGTCCTCGACTATTCGTTCTTGAGCGTGTCTAACCTTTTCACCGTCGTGCCTGCTTGTCAGAGACTCTTGATGCTGAATCCTTCGACTTTCGCGAGTGTTCCTCTGATTATGGTTAACTCCGGTTACCGTGAATTTACCAAGATAAGGACACTGACGTAGTTCCGGTGAACTCGCTGAAACAGATAAAGTCCTTTTTTTAATCCTTTCAATCTACACATGCAAAGGTTTTCTTTTTTGTTTTTTTTTTTTTTTTGTTTTAACTATGTAATACATGTACTATACATTACCTACGTATGTATGATCAGATTAACTAAATTGGGAGAATTCTCTTCTCTTGTCATACTCGGTGTACGAGTAGACGGTCTTTTGTAGAATAAAGAGAACTGACATTTTTTTAACGTATAACATTTACAATAACGTTGTAGAGATAAATGGTACGCTTGGGCATGTATATTCCATAGAATATACCTACTGAAGATAAGTTTGCATGAAAAAGCCAGAGAGAATAAGAGAGAATAAGAGAAAATATTATATATAATAGTTAACTCCTTTTGATTCTTGGAGTGGTCTACCCATCTTCTCAACATTGACAACAAAATTATTCGTTGTTGGTTTAACGGCTTGGACGAGATTTCGAGTTTATTTGACAGAACATGCGTACACATAAATACATATGTAACAAAGAGACGACGACGACGACGACGACGACGACGACGACGCGATGGGACATTTAACTCTCAGATTATATGCAGCTCGTGTCGTCAAATGACACGACAATACTGCTCTGCCTGAGAGGGTAATGCGATAGATGCTACTAATTGCTGACAAATGCGGAAGACATATTGTTGGTCTTAATGGAGCCTCGTTAGGTACTAAGTAATACAAAAATGACTGAAGTAAGGGAAGAATGCGAATAGTTATAACGAGGGAGAGAGAGAGAGAGAGAGAGAGAGAGAGAGAGAGAGAGAGAGAGAGGGAGGGAGGGAGGGAGGAGAAAGCGTAAATCGGCCGTAGGCAGACACAATGTGAACTCTAACGAGACAAATCTGACGACGCACCCTCCGGTCAAATCATCACCTCATCCTTTTCCTTCCTATTGAGACGCGTTTCTGCAGGGTTACTAACTTGGAAAGTTTGCGGTGAAATTTTACATCCGCTATACTTCGTGATATTTCTCAAAGAAAGGGGCTGACTATCTACCGTCACACGATTACTATATATAAACCTTCGTTCTCCCTTGCCATTGACTGTTACTAGGATAAATGATAATTCCAAGGATTCCTATCTATCGCATAAAACACAGAATTGTTTGAGCGTGTTATACTGTGTGTGTGTGTGTGTGTGTGTGTGTGTACGTCGTTATATATACGTTTATGTACTTTGGTCTATGATCTACATCGGAAGGACGAATCAAAATTGTATACTTTGTTACGAATTAATGCAAAGGTAAACACTAGGATTAGGACTTTCTTGTTCTCTTCCTATTTTTGTCTCTTTCCTTCTCTTTCCTTCCCATTGTGATTATGTATCGTGATTATGTACCGTGATTATGTACCGTGACTTTGTTTCGAAAAGGTCTTTTTAAAATACGCGACTTGTCTTTTCTTTCTTTCCTTCTTTCTTTCTCTTACCTACCATCTCTCGTTTTCTCTACAAATCGTAAATCGATTTGGACGTAGCTTCACGGGACGTGCCCGCAAAAATCTCGTTATTTTTATGGTTAATTAGACACGCATTACGATGGGCTAAAGGCGAGGCCGTGCTCGCCAAAGGAGACTTGATTTTTCCGACTCGTTAGGCGATTGCCAGTAGCACGAAGGTCCTGCCAAAGGGACCGAGGAATAAGGGTGAGTTTCCCGCTGAAGGGAGGCCACCCTTCTTCGATTGGCCCTTCTTTGTGTGCGATCGGGAGGACAAATCGGAGACTCGTCCCTTGAATCGTTAATTATATTCATCGCGAGAAAACTTTGAATAGCATTATTAGATAGACATTGAAAGTATCTTTCTTTTTAAATGTAACAAGCAAAATAAAATAGATGTATATCATCTTATTGACAAAATCCATCTCAATGTCATCGATGCAAGTCATTTTCATCAGTGTGTCTGGAGGGTTTCATCCATATAGATATAATAGTTTTATAAATAATGATCAAAATGAAAGTTTAATTTTGTAATTAATACGCTTCATAGTATGCAATCGCACACAAATCAGTAGTGGGGATTACGAAGCACTGCATAAAGAGGAAATCGAGAATAGGAAAAACTTGTCGCTTTTTCGTCAAATCAGTTTTCAAATCACCTCGATTCTAAAGAGTTTTCATTTGAAATGAAGGTAGCGTAAATAAAGGTAGCGCGTGCATATTTTCGTCTCATTCACGCACGAAAAAAGTAAGTCCTTTTTGCAGGTTGCATATTTTATATTTCTGACACTTTATCTTTGGAAAAGATATACCTACGCATGCATAAACACGAGTTGCACATAAAATGCGCAATTATTTTGCTCGCGAGTGTCGATATTGTCGTACGGTTAGTCGGCGACATTTTACTTTTTCTTCTTTGTTTGGGTCATCCGGAAATGACGTCTCGATTCTCGTCAGAGCGATAAATTTCCAACGGAAATAACTTTTGGCACGGAGATCGAGAGTGAGAGAAAGAGAGAGGGAGGGAGAGAGGGGGAGAGGTTTGTTGCCGAGGTGTTCGTTCGTTCGTTCGTTCGTTTGTTCGTTCGTTCGTTCGTTCGTTCGTTCGTTCGTTCAGCCGTATGTCGAAACAGGAACACGTTCGTTTCACGTTCACAAGCAATGACGAGAAATGCATTTTTATTTTGAATTATTTTTCTTTTAGAGAGGTAATTTTGATAGTTTGTTAAAAAGGATCGAGAAACATAGATAAATTAGAGAGAACGTTGGTCAAAAAATTGGTCATCTTTTTGCTGGATTGGGAAATAAAAGTGATTCAAGTCAATATTCTATCTGCAAATAGATTTATTTTTATTTAAAAGCCAATGAAAATAATCCAATATAAATTGTGTAATAATTTGATCAATGATGAAATGTGATATTAATGTGATAGTAATCTTTTTAGAAGCATTGACAGAATATAATTGGAGAGTAGAGTATTTTCCTTTGCTACATATATTACGATCGATAATTAGGAACACAGATTTGAGTGTATATCGGTAAAATTTGGTAATTTATAGTTCTCGTCAAAGAGAACCGCGCTTGGTCTTGATTAACGATCTACACCACAGGAAAATACAAACGAGAGATAGAGATAGAAAATGCTTGTCTATCTATAAGCGACGATGACAACTCGCGTAATTAAGCCTATAACGGATTGTTTATTATTGGCCGGACAATGTTCAACCCTGTTTTCGGCAAATATAGTTATCTATTTAATTTTCTACCGCGAATATCGACCCATTAGCTATAGTTCGATGTGTCGTGTACCACCGCCACGCGTGGTCCAAGAGCTAACAACCTCGAAAACGTAATCGGTTAATTAGTATGCGTTACTATTTGATTAGCTTTCTCTCCCTCTCCATTCAGCTCTCTTTTTCTCTCCAATTCGAATATTTTTGAATACATAATCAATTGTTATTCCAGCGATAATTCGCTATGTATGTTCATCGTACTCGTATCTACTTTGGGATTATTCGCATAACGTATGATCAAATTTATTTTGATGAATTAAAATGATAATTATGTTTTCCAATGATGACGATACTATATAGAATATAGAATATTCATTCTTTATATTACTATGGAACCTCCAATATCTATTCTACTATTCACATGTTTGAAACACTCTTTAGCATTCCTAAATTTATGCCCATATATTTTGAAATATTTGGACATATTTGGTTATCTATATAAATATGCGTGATAATAATAAAAAGAAATATGTAAAAGCTCTTTTAGAAGCCTCAACGGGGTTTAAAAGTGGAAGTGAGTAATGGATAGCGTGGGATTATCGGGGACGTTATCAGAGGGTGGCGAGAAGGTGGCGAGAAGGTGGCGAGAAGGTGGCGAGAGGGTGGCGAGTCAAGGAGCGAAAGGAGGGTCTCTCGACAAGGCGGACCGAGTCTAAAGGCCATGGAGTCAGGTGACCCGTGTCAAGTTCAAAGACGCGAACGTTCTAGCCCTACCACCAACGTTTAATCCACCTACGCGAGAAGATACCAAGGAAACTACTCTCCATGATCGATCGTCTATAAAACTCTGAGCTTGTATAACCTTTACATGGATTACATACTTTTTTCCTTTATTTCCATCATTTTTCCATTAAACGAATGAATTGACTTATATGTTGTATATGTATTAGGTCCTTGGATCATTTTTAATGTTCAAACATTGGAAATTATGCAAGGAAAATACCATACGATTTCATTCAAAACAAAACAGTTGATCATTCTTCAATGTGTGTTTCAATTGTCAACAAATTGAATTACACTTTTTTACGTGTCTCTTTAGAAATTTCAATGAAATGTTATAACTATATATTATCATTTGATGCTTATATTTTTCTCAAAGTAATTTTCATCCTTTCGAGTTAATCGATGCTTGTTTATTTAAAGATAGCTCTGCTTTGAGTTTCATGCAAAAGTCGTCAAGTGTATCGTATCAATCGTTTGTGGGATGGCAAATTGATCGATAAAAAAAACTTTTTCTTGGACTATAAATTAAAAAGCATTCTGGTATTGAATATATAGAGTTAGTTCTTCTTTCAAGTAGTAAAAGACAGATGAGTCGAGGGAAAAGGCAGGTAGTAAGTAGATACCTCGCGTGTTCGCGACCTAATAAAGAGAGAGAGAGAGAGAGAGAGAGAGAGAGAGAGAGAGAGAGAGGAGAGAGAGAGGAGAGACTTTGCTTTTAACGAACTCTGTTCGCTCGGTTTCCTCGCAATCCATTGGGAACTCGAATCAATCATTTTCAAAAAGATCAAGAGGGTGAGAAAACACGCACAAAAAGAAAAAATAAAGCAAAATAGATAGAAAGAAAGAACAAGTGAATTAGAGAGACGAGGGAGGAAGAGAAAGGATAGTGCCTTCCGTATCCCCTTTGGAGAAGGAACGGCTGTTCCAAGGGACTAACAACGGAGATGGTTCGGTCAAAATGCTAAAACTTGTACATTAACGAATGCATTAAATATGAGAGGATGGTGAAAGGAGTTT